TTTGGTTTGTTTGTTTGTTTGTTTGTTTTTTCCTTCAAGTCTGCTGTTTGGAAAGAAATTTCATCCTAGGCCTCTGGTTAACTTTAATCTTCACTCGTTCAAATGGTGTTTGTGGAAAAGAAACTTCCAAGAAATGTGTGAGACATTGAAAAAATCACTCTGCTTACCTTTGCCAGAAACACAGAAAGTGGCTGCCAAGAATAAATGAAGCTTTACAAGCACTTTGTAAAACCATTTGGCATTATTTTTCTAAATCACACATCTGTGTAGCCCATGACCCTGCCTGTTTAATCCCATAGCGTATACACCCTCAGCAGAAGAGGATGCAGAGCTGGGCGTTGGTGGCGCACTCCTTTAATCCTAGCACTCGGGAGGCAGAGGCAGGCGGATCTCTGTTAGTTCGAGGCCAGCCTGGGCTACAGAGTGAGTGCCAGGATAGGCTCTAAAGCTACACCGAGAAACCCTGTCTCGAACCCCCCACCAAAAAAAAGATGCAGAGCTGAGTAACAAATGCACTTGCTAGATTCCCGCTGCAAGCACGAACTGTAGCGATCTTGAATTGCAAACAAACCAGATCTCCATGAATGACAGAGCGAATGAATAAACCATAGGATGGAATACTACATAGCAAGCAAATGGATGAACCTGACCTGCCTGCCCCCACCCCTTGAATGCTGAAATTTTAGGCCTGTTCTACCACACTCAGTTTTATTTGGTGCTGGGGACTGAACCATCGGATGATGTGAGGCACATATACATTCTGCCAACAGTCATATCCTCAGAATACTTAATGCATTTTTATAAAGAATTTTGTAGTAAAAAATAAGTGTATTAAACATTGTAAGTATTAATATTTTTATAGATAGACCTAAGTTTGAGAAAATATATTCCTTTCTTCACATCCCATTCCCTTAATCTAAGAGAAAACACTCTTCACTGTAAAATACATAGCTGTGTGCTGCAAACATTTTGAAAACTCAGTGAACACAGGCATATTTAGTGTGCTCTTTGTTTCCAACATAAACAATTTAGTGTGTTCAATTTAGGTTAGAACAAAATAGTTCGTTAACTGATTATTATTGTAGCTAAGGATCATTGCAGCTCTTAATACAGATTTCATTTTTTAATATGTTCTTTGTTTCCATTTCTATTTTACATGTGTGTGTTTTGTGTGTATGTGTGTCTGCACCATGTACATGTCTGGCATCTGTAGAGATTCAAAAAGAGCATCAGGTACCCAGGAACTAGAGCAAACAGAGATTATGAGGGTGCTGGGACTTGAACCTGGTTCCTCTGGAGGAGTGGTCAGTGTTCTTATCCATTGAACCATCTCTCCAGCCCCAGTGATGGTTTTCTTATAATTCATTAAATCACTCCTTTCTCTGTTAGTTTAAAAAAAAAACTGATCTTTAGAAAGTTCACCTCTTGTCTTGTGTACTACAGTTTTATGAATCTTGGCATAAAATTGAATATATATAGAGAGAAGGCCTACATTTTCAAACAATGATATAGTTACAATCAGTGTGCCAATCCCCTAGAATCCACACCACAGATTCAACTAAACTTGGATCAAAAACAGTTGAAAGAAGAATTCCAGAAAGTAAAGCTTGAATCTGCTGTTCTCTGAGCACAGCTGTGGTGGTTTGAAAGAAAATGGCCCCAAAGGGCGTGGCACTATTAGGAGGTGTGGCCTTATTGGAAGAAGTGTGTCACTGTGGGGGTCGGCTTTGAGGTCTCTTTTTCTCAAGCTTCCCTCATTGTGGCTGTCAGTTGACTTCCTGTTGTCTGGAAGACAACTTGATGTTTCTCCAGCACCAAGTCAACGTGCTCCCCAGATGATGATAGTGGACTGCTCTGAAACTGTAAGCTGCCACCTCAATTAAATGTTTTACTTCCTAAGAGTTGCCATGGTTATGATGTCTTTTCACAGCAATAGAAAACTCTAAGACAACATCTCTGAACCCACGAATGTGAGGTAGTGTGCAGGAACACTTCTCACACATTTCCCAAACCCACAATCCCCTTCTACGTCTTCGAATGTTTTCTCAGCCAACAACTCTATACTGTATGAGTAGACCTACAATAGCTGGTATTTGTAATTTTGTTGAACAAATGTTTTCCTTGTCATTATTTCTTAAGCAACGCAGGAGAATATCGATTTGCATAGCGTTTCCATTGTATGAAGTGTTATAAGTAACCTAGAGATGACTTCAGTGTATGGGAAGTGTGGGGACTCAATACAAATACCATGCCACTTCAAAAAAAGATTTTAAAACATTTTATGTCATGTTTCCTGTGTGTATATATGTATGTGAACCGCACTCATGACTGGTGCCCAAAGAGAATAAATTCCCAAGAACTGGGATTGCAGATAATGGATAGTTGTGTACACCATGTAGGTGCAGGAAACCGAACCCAGGTCCTCTGAAGGAGCAGCAGGTGCTCTTACCCATGCAGCCACGTCTCTAGTCTATACCATGGCATTTTGCAGAAAGGACTTGAAGGGCTGGAGAGCTGGCTCTGTGATTAAGAACATGTACCACTCTTTCAGGGAACTGAGCTCAGCTCCAAGTGCCCATACTGCACAGTTCATAATGTCTTGTGACTTCAGCTCCAGGGGCTCTGATACCATGGCTTCCATGAGCACTGGCATTTGTGTACATACCACATACATGTAATTAAAACATCTATGTAAAGGGCTTGAGCATCCGCTGATTTTGGTGTGTGTGTGTGTGTGTGTGTGTGTGTGTGTGTGTGTGTGTGTGTGTGTGTGTGTGCTTGCTGGTTTGGGGGCCACTGAAGCCAGTCTCCCATGGATAGGGACGATTGCTTTTGAATCCTGTCCATGACAGCTGCTTACTAATGGGCCGCACTCCTGCTAAAAGTGACTGTGCGTAGAGTTCTTGAGGGTTAAAACCAACCACTCGGGAGTCTTCCTTCAAAGTTCCAGGATCTTTGGAGACCTTACCTTGATGGCGTTGGCACTGTGTCTGGTCCTGGTGTCTTTGTGTGGTTAGCTCTCTACTCGGAGGATATGGTAATAAGTGCTTCCATTGTTCTCAGGGGGGGAAATGTGGTTGCAGTGCTTGGGAGGCAGCTTTGAAGGTGTGTTCCACCACGCCACACATCTGTGTACACACAGCTGTTATAAAGGTCTGATGGCCAGACAGAACCACAGGGAACAAATGAAATGGCAACCTTGTGGCTTCTCCACTGATTCCAGGTCTGGCTAGATGACTCAGCATGTGAGGGTGCTTGCCACCAAGCCTAGTGACCTGTGTTTCATCCTCAGAACTCACCTGGTGGAAGAAGAGAACCAGCTCCCGTGAATTGTCTTCTAACCTCCACACATGTGCTCAAATGCACAAGTGTACTCTCACACACATGTGCTTATGCGCGCATGCGCGTGTGCACGCGCGCGCGCACACACACACACACACACATACACACACACTATGTAAATTTTTTAATGGATTGACTCAGTGACTTTCACTGCTTCTCTCTTCTCCTAAGACACTTGAAGCTGCAGAATGGTCCGTTGCAATGCAGAAAAGCGTTTGCTGTTTGCAGCATAATAGCTACTAGTTTATGAACGTTCTGCATGGACACCATAGAGCACGACCCCCTCCTCTCAGTTAAAGGATCTGCAGGCCATGCTGGTCAACAGTAACTGGCCACAGAGATGGAGAGAGCATGCTGTGCCCTTCTTTGACTGATGCACTAGTCCCAGGGTCAGGGTTTCCTTCCTGTAGTGCCCAGCACAGCTCTCAGTGGATATTTGAGTAATGAGTACCTATGGGCTTAGGAAGTGAATTCTGATGGCTGAGGCCACGGCTCAGGCCTTTTCATCCATGTTACCATTGTTCAGTTATGTATAAAGAAAATGCCTAGAGAAGTTTCTCACTCTTCCATTCTGAAGCTTGCCTCATAAACCACAATATACAATGTTGTCAATAAAAGTCCTGTACTGCTGGTGGTGGTGGCACACACATTTGATCCCATTTGGGAGGCAGAAGCAGGCAGATCTCTGTGAGTTTGGGGCTAGCCTGGTCTACAGAGAAGCTTCCAGGACAGCTAGGGCTACACAGAGAAATCTTGTCTTGAAATACCCCTTGCCCTTGCCCCCCTCCAAAAAAATCCTGTATTAAGTATTTGTGTGTGTGTACCTCTGTGGGCAGGCACAGGTGCGTGTGGAGATTGGAAGACAATCTTGGGTGTCATTCCTCAAGAGTGCAGGTCTGTTTGTGCATGTGTGTGTGTGTGTGTGTGTGTGTGTGTGTGTTGTGTGTGTGTGCACATACTTGTATGTATGTATGTCCATGGAGGCCAGTTGACACCAGTGTCTTCCTTGATTTCTGTCCACCTTATATTTCAGAGGTAGGGTTTCTCATGAACCCAGAGCTCACCCATTCCAGACTGGGTGGTGGTCAGCGAGTCCCAGGTCATCCTGTCTCCATCCTCTCTAAGCTGTGTATGCCATGCCTGACTTTGACTCTGTAGTTCCAATCTCAGATCCTCCTGTTCATGATGCACTTTACTGACTTAGTCATCTCCCCAGCCCTCTACCTCATCTGTGAGACACCGTCTAGGCTGTGTGGTCAATGAGCCCTGGAGTCTTCCCGTCTTCTCCAATGTGCTGGGATAAACACATGTAACAAAACCACAGCACTGTGTGTATTTCTGTGAACGGGATGAAATGAGCGAGGCCACTTGCTCAGGATTCAGATGCAGGAGAGCCTTTCAAAGGTCAAAAATGACCAAAGCCAGAGCTTGGCAGGGGAAATTTAGGAATCCTGGACCACTGAAGAACTAATTAACTAATGATGAAATGGGTACTTCTGTTTCTGCAGCCCATAGGGTAGCAATTGTATCCTGGGCAAATCCCTGCCTGTACTAGAAAGTGCTCAGAGACCACTGGTCCACAGACCTGGCAGCCGTGACTAGGTAAACACAGAACACTGGGTATGCTGTATCCATCATGAATGCCAGTCTTGTTTCAGAAAGAAGCCTGAATATGCTGAGCAATGCTGGATACCTTCAAAGAAGATGTGAAATGAAAATATACAGCTCCTGAATAGGAGGACAGTTCACTCATCAAAAGGAAACGAACTCAGAACTCCTATAAACAAACGTTAACTTGATACACATCCACGCATATTAGTGTGATTTTTTTAACAATTTGGTGTTGGTATAAATAAAATGTCTATGTTGGAGTTAGAATGCTTGCTTGTTAAAATCTCCAGTTTCGCATATAAAATTGAATGAATAAATTAAATAAACAAGTCTATGTTATTGGTTAAAGCCTCAGGGGTTTATTAGTTGCCAGGAAGCAGGACCCTTCCTGGAGGTGATGAATAAGCCACAGAGAAGATGCTGGTCAAGGGTCTGGTTGTGTTGCTGATGGGGTTGAAAGTGTAAACCAGAACAACTTTCCAGAGGGCAGTGTGTTTCAAAAGTTATTAAAATGGAGCTATTCCTGGATCAAGCAACTTTACCTCAGAGAGCAACAAAAATAAATATGTATGTATATGATTTTTCAGTGGGGTTGACAATATTTGTGGGTTTTTGTTGTTGTTTAATGTTTCAGACAGAGTCTCATTGATTCTCTCACTATGTAAGTCAAGCTGACCTTGAACTCACGGAGGTCCATCTGCCTCTGCCAAGCAGCAATATCTGTTTATTCCGAGCCAAATTAACAAAGCAGCAAACAACTTATAGTCAGATGAATAAGGGATTTGCTAGGGCTGGAGAGATGACTCAGTGTTAAGAGCACTGGCGGCTCTTGCAGAAGACCAGGTTTGGTTCTCAGAGTCCACACTGGGCAGCCCACAACTGCCTTTAACTCTAGCTCCAGGGGCTACGACCCCCTTTTCTGGCTTCCATGGGTACCCACATTCACACACACACACACACACACACACACACACACACAAACCCCTACTAAAATAGCTATTTTTAAGTTAAAATAAGTTAAAAATAAGAGATTTGTTAAATACATTTAGCTCAAAGACTCTGAAACATGACTCAGTCTGGACAGATACTGATGTGAGTAGATGCTTACTGAACCGTCATGAGGATGGAGCTGAGGGCAGCTCAGCTGATAAAGGCTTACCTAGCATGCATGACGTCCTGAGTTTGGTTGTCAGCGGTGCATAAATTATGGTGACACCCAGCAGCAATGTCGGCATCCGGAAGTTGGAGACAGGAGGATCAGAGTTCAAGGTCATTCTCTTTAGAACTGGATACATTTCTTGTAGCTCAGTATAGACAGATCCAGTTCTAAAGAGAAACAGCTCACACAGAGATTATTTTAGCACTTGGGGTCACATGCCTCTAACCCCAGGACTCATGAGAGGTATTTAAGACAGGAACAGGGTCTCAGAGCTTCCATTCATTCTCCATCCACACTGAGGATAGGAAGACATTGAAGTCTCTAGCCACACTGAGGAGAGCAGAGCAGTCTGAGTGAACCTGAGGAGCAGTGAAGTCGGGAGCAGTCTGAGGCTCGCCCCTTTGGTCTGAGCTGAGGAAGAGTAAGAGCTGGTGGCCAGCTGCTTTGCTTTTCTGATCTTCAGCTTGAAGCTTGAAGCCCAATATTATTAGCTCTGGGTCTTTTATTTCTTGTGCTACAGGCATGCTCAACCACACATATTATACACGGAAGTTTGGAACCAGTCACCTTAGACACTGATGGGTGACTCCATGTGTGTTTTTCAAACGCACACAAATCATAGAACATAGAATTGTTTGCATATGGTGATTTTTTGTGAGTTTTTTTTGTTGTTGTTGTTTTTGGTTTTTCGAGACTCAGTTTCTCTGTGTAGACCTAGCTGTCCTAGAACTGGTTCTGTAGACCAGGCGGGCCTCAAACTCAGAGATCTGCCTCTGCCTCCCGAGCACTGGGATTAAAGTCATGTGCCACCATGCCTACCAGCATATTGTTTTTAAGTCAACATAAAAGAAATGATATTTTAATTTTAATCAATATCATATACAATTTTTATTCATCAACTATAAACCTCAATAAGTATCCAGGAACAGTTATTTTCCTAAGATCAAGTCATCTTCATGTGCAACACTGTTGCTTATTCCTTTGCTCTAGTGTATTATTGGCTCAACCATAGCCTCTTTTGTTTGTCCGTCCATTCTGCTAATGATCCTTTGGCATTTCTCTGCTGCAGTCAGTTCAGATACAGCTACCCTGAGGTGAGCCTGCAAAGGGGAACCTCAGCAGTCCCAGAGGAACAGCTGGGGCTGTTCAAAGCAGGATTGTCCAGTCGCGGAGTGTGCGCGCAGTCCGCTTTGCTGCAGGACTGTCCAGTCGCGGAGTGTGCGCGCAGTCCGCTTTGCTGCAGGACTGTCCAGTCGCGGAGTGTGCGCGCAGTCCGCTTTGCTGCAGGACTGTCCAGTCGCGGAGTGTGTGCGCAGTCCGCTTTGCTGCAGGACTGTCCAGTCGCGGAGTGTGTGCGCAGTCCGCTTTGCTGCAGGACTGTCCAGTCGCGGAGTGTGCGCGCAGTCCGCTTTGCTGCAGGACTGTCCAGTCGCGGAGTGTGCACGCAGTCCGCTTTGCTGCAGGACTGTCCAGTCGCGGAGTGTGCGCGCAGTCCGCTTTGCTGCAGGACTGTCCAGTCGCGGAGTGTGCGCGCAGTCCGCTTTGCTGCAGGACTGTCCAGTCGCGGAGTGTGTGCGCAGTCCGCTTTGCTGCAGGACTGTCCAGTCGCGGAGTGTGTGCGCAGTCCGCTTTGCTGCAGGACTGTCCAGTCGCAGAGTGTGTGCGCAGTCCGCTTTGCTACGTCCACCCAGTTGCTTTCACAGTGTGCCACAGTTTGTACTCCCCCCAGCAATGCTGGGGACCTCCTGTTTACTCACATCCTCACCAACCCTCGATAGTTTTAGATCTCTTAATTTTTTAAAATGATTTTATGTTTAATTATGTGTCTCTGCGTGAGCACGCACAAGTATGCAGATGCCCACGGAGGCCAAACTGAATATCAGCTTGGAGCCCGAGTTGCAAGTAGTTTGTGACATAGGTGCTGGGACTCAAACTCTGGAGGAGGAGCAAGTGCTCTTAACTGTAGAGCCCTCTTTTCAACCTCCTCGGTTTGTTTACCTTTACTTTACAGCATGTCTGGGTGTCGTGGGTTGGGGATGAAATGCCCTGCCGCCAAAACTCATGTGTTAGACCTATGAACATCTAGTTACAAACTTCAAAGGTGGGGCTACTGAGGCTGTCTCACAGGGGCTTCTAGTCACGTGAAACCATCCGTTGAACCATCATGATCCAGCCACCATTGTACTAACCCTGTGGTAAGTTTATACCCTGACGTGTCCTGTAGCAGTGAGCGGGAATTAGAGGAAGGTCGCTGGGAGTGTGTCTTTGAAGAATGTAGTTGGTCCCTAGCCTTTCCTCTTTCTGTCTCTATTTCCTGTCCACTAGGAGATAAACATCTTTGCTCCGATACCGAGCCCCCACCATGAGACATGCTCCCAGTGCAGGCCCAAAGCAACCAGACCAAAAGACCATGAACTAAAACCTCTGAAACCTTAAACCAAAATACATCATTCTTTTTTTAAGTTGGTTTTCTCAAGTATTTTGTCACAGCAACAAAGATCTAATAGAATATGCTTGTTTTGAGTCTTTTTATGTCTACATTTTATGTCTATATATGTGTCAGCATTTTAATGACTATAGCAACTTGTGCATTTTGTCTGTTTTAAAAAGGTCTAAAGTTGCTGGGCAGTGGTATACCTCACCACCATGCCTTTAATTCCAGTTCTTGGGAGGGAGAAGCAGGTGGATCTCTGTGAGTTCAAGGCCAGCCTGGTCTACAGATTGAGTTCCAGGATAGTCAGGGCTACACAGAGAAACCCTTTCTAGAAAACCAAACAAACAAACAAACAAAATTTTAAAAAACCAAATGAAAAAGATCGAAAGTTCTGCATGTGAAGAGAAAGTCTGCCCTGTTTTTCTTTATTGGAGTATGAGGTAAAATATCAGTTAACTGCTGGCTACATAAAAATTGTCCCAAAGTATGCAGTTTAGAGCACATTTATTACCCTGTAGCTTCTGGGGTGCAGAGATCTGGAGGCAGCTTAGTTCTTCTCCCAAGGCCATAAGTTGCTCATGATATGTCAATCACGTTTTATAAGCTGAATGACATCATATCTGGAAGTAGGATCTTTGGGAAGTAATTAGGTGTAGATGAGGTCATGAGAGTGAGCCATGTGATGGGTTAACGCCCTCAGAAGGACAGGAAGAGATTCTTTCCCTACACACCACACCAGAAAACAGGCTCTCATCAGGCACTTGATCTATGGACACCATGATCCCAGACCCTTGGCCTCCAGAGCTCTGAGGAGTGTGTGTTGTTTAACCACCTGGGCTGTGGCATTTGATTCAGCAGATCAAGTGGACTGAGACACACCTGAAGTCCACAGGAGATCTGCTTCGAAGAAGGTGCACTCACAGCCTGTTGGCTAGAGGTCTCTCATCCCCAGGGTCCCCCTCCACCGGGCTGCCTGAGTCCTCCTGACTTGGGAGCTGATGAGTATAGGATGAGTGGGCAGGAAGTTGAAGTTCCTTTTGTGAAAAAGCTTCCAAAGTGACACACTGACATGTCTCCTCACTAAGTGAGTCACTGTCCAGCCACACTCAGCGGGTGGGGGAAGAGTGACTATCCAAGAGCCGGGACACTTACAATGCACCGATGTAATCCACCCCTACTCACTTTGCTTTCAAGGCCCACCCTGTGTCACTGACACAGACTGACATTTCCTTTTAAAACAACATTAATGTTAATTTCTTTCACGTGTATGGTGTTTTGCTTGCATGTATGTCTGTGAACGATGTGTGTGCAGTACTCAAGGAAGCCAGAAGAGGGCAGTGGATCCCCTGGGACTGAAGTTACAGGTGGCTGTGAGCCACCACCAGGGTGCTTGAAACCCAACCTGGGTCCTCTGCCATCCTGAACAACAGTTATTAAGCACTGAGATCCCCAAATATGCTATTTTTTAAAATGGGACATGTTGAATTTCATCTTCTACCTTAAAAAAATATTTGCTAAGGCAACCATTTCCTTCTGCTAACATCTCACAGTTTAGAACAAATTGACATATTTTTTTCTAACCTTAAGCCATAAATGTTTTTATAGAGTTGGGCAGTGGTAGCCCACTCCTTTAATCCCAGTAATCAGGAGGCAGAGGCAGGTGGATCTCTG